ACCTCTTTTGACTCCTTCTTTGCCTGCTCTCCAGGGGCTTGCAACATCTCACTTTTCCATTGTTCCGAATCCCATTCTGAGTTGGGCACCTTTACTTCCTGCTGCTCAGTGAGCAGTTTCATCACAAAGCCTATGCCAGAAAATAGAGTTTCCTTGGTTAATTTTTGAAACTTGAATGGTTAAGTTCAGGTTAAAGAGAGGGATTCCCTCTGTTGTTTTTCAAATGATTCAGGGGCATATCTGCATCATGTACATTCAAAAGAGGGAATTTAATAAATGGTAATAAAGTTGATTCTATATTTTCTAGATTTCCCTCCAAGAAATAAGGCAACAGGTAACTTAGTGCACTAAAAACATCACTTTTATCTTTAAAGTCTAGCTGCTCACTCATAAGGGATGAGGAAGTGTCACTCTTTTTGTTTGAGGGTGCCTTCTCTGGCTCAATTGTCAGCTCAGTGCTGGTGTTCTGCCGGCCTTGTAATACTTTCATGAGCATTCCTTCTATTAAGAGTTCTTCATCTGTCAAAAAAGAAGAAATCACATTTGATATTGAAAGACTCATAGCAGTTATTTGTCAGTCCATAGCTATATATCCCTGTCAAATATATAGAGAATCAGCAAATACTTTAGTGTCATTTAGAGAGGAAAAAAATAAACCCCAACTTAAATCTGATTGTTGAGACAACAAAAGGAGAAAATGTATCATTTTTGAAAGTGGCTATTTACTTAAAATCTCCCAGCCCTAGCTGGTTTGTCTCAGTAGATAGAGCATCAGCCTGTGGACAGAAAGGTCCCCATTTGATTCCAGTCAATGCACATGTCCAGGTTGTGGGCTCGATTTCCAGTAAGGGGTGTGCAGGAGGCAGCCAATCAATTATTCTCTCATCATTGATGTTTCTATCTCTCTCTTCCTCTCCCTTGCTCTCTGAAATCAATAAAAATATATTTAAAAAAACATTCCATAGCATGACTTATGGTAACTATATTTAGGATTATTCCACTGGTCCTCAAGGCCAATTGCCAGTTACTGGAGAAAAGCCACGGCTCAAGACCCACTCAGTCAGACCCTCTGCAGATCTACTGTGACTCCTCACACCCACGCACCCCATCCTGTGCTGCCTCGGATGCGGAGGGAGCCTGAGGCTTCCTCTCTCCACTCTTCAGGGTGCCCGTGTTCTTGCCACCATCACAGATGGCCATGATGAACACCTTCTGCTAACAGGCCCTCATCTGGACACGCCCTTCTCCACTAGCCCACTGGTTCCTTACTTGGGCCCTCCTTCCACATATGCCAGCGCCATAACGGAAGGCTCTACACAGGAAAAAACAACATGTCTACCCTCTCTCTGTGCTTAAGATTTGGACAGGCATCTGGGATGTACATTTAACAGACTTGCCAGGTTGTGTGCCACTGTGGAATGTTCAATAAACTATGGAATAATACTTGGGGGTCTAAAACACAGAAGGGAAAGAATAACTTCTGTCAGATGCCTACTTTCCTATCATTTCATGTCATTTCTTATATTTTCAGCTTTACTTGGGGAACCATCCAAAGCTTCTGATTGCGTGATGCTCAAGTGTACCATTGTCAGCTGGTACACAAGAAATTCTAGAAGAAGTAAAAGTATTGCTGGTGGTGATAAGGGTCAGAGAAGGAGGGAAGTCCTGGGAAAGAGCACGGGCTTGCAGAGCCCAAAACTGGGAGCTGGAGACCTGGGCACTCGGTGACAGCTCTTAGCTCTTTCTGATCTTGTTTTTACTCACCTGTAAAAGGAGACCAAAATGCCCGTTCTGCCCAATGTTGGGGCAGAAGGGAGTAATGTAATTAGTCAAAGTATTGTTTTGAAAAATAAGCAACACTGACTTTATATACGTGGCACAGATCACTGATGGAAACCCGTATTTAAGCTTTCTGTGCATGAAAGCACATTTTGGAAGTGACCAAGTAGCTGCCAATAAAAACACACAAATGTTTGGAGGATAGAAACCCTTGTGCTTCAGAGCAAGTTCAGAGTTGGGCAGTCTGAGAATAAACAGCCCCCATGCATTAGAAGGGCTGGGTAGCAGCTTCTGGTGATGGATCCCAAAACGCTCAGGTTCCAAATAAAACTTACATAAAACAGCATCATTTGTACTCTTTTCATAAACTTGCAAAGACAAAAAAAATAAAAATGTATATGTGTCTATACTGCAAAGGACAATAAACCTAATGCATACAAAACAGTTTACAAACTGTGTCACACTAATGAACAAGTTCTCATTTGGAAGTAAAGCACCCAGCAGAGAGCACAGCACACACCATGTGGCCATTACTGTCAATACCCTTCCCCTTCATCTGACTTTTAGCAAGGAGTCGTGCTTAAAATGTTAGAGTTGAACTCTGAGTGAATGTATAAAAATAAGACAGTTGCCTTATTTTCTTAAAAATGGACAGTCATTGATTTCAATAAAAAACAAAAACATAAAATAAAAATTAAAAAGTTTATCATCGGGCAATTCAGACTCACCACAAGGTGTGTTGGCCCTACATTCCGTATCACAATGCAGTTTGACTGACTTGGTGACAGCCTCAATATCCTGTTTAAATTGGCAGAGGCAGCAGCCCAAATGTGTAGGTAAGATACTACAAATGGAAACATACAGAATTATATTAGTCACAAAGGAATTACTTGTGAATCATAGTAACCTCCACCTTTTATAAAAAAAATAAATAAATAAAAAACAACAACAAGTGCTGTTTGAATTCTTTGCTATTGTTTTATAGTTCCTAGTCCTGTAAACTCTGTCATTATAAACTTTGTCACTTTAAGATGGTCTGTTATTCTGTAAAATGGTCTGGCCTTGCAGCTAGTCATACAATGTAATACACTAATACTGATAATAATTATGCCAAGTACAAACTCATTATGTGTTCAAAGTTACAACTGTCAGTAACAATAACTTTCACAGAGCCCTTTGTAATATCTGCAAACAAAGAAGCTCCAAGAGTATAAATACAGAAAAACTTCCTGTATGAGTTGCTCGGAAATTTGGAAAAAGACACCTGGCTCTGGGCCACACGCAATAAATGACTACTAATTAATTGATTCATTAAGGTGTCTTGTATCTCATTTGATGATTTACAATACAACACTTAGAAACAGTTTTTTAAAAACTTAAACATACATCTAGATATTTATCAAGAGAAATAGAAGTATATTTCCATAAACAGACTTTTACATAAACAGTGATTATAGCTTTATTTGTGATAATCAAAAATGGGAACAACTCAAATAGCCATCAATGTTGAGAAATACTGATATATCCATATATAATGGAATGCTATTTAGCAATAAAAGGAAATGAATTATTGATATGCAAAACAACATGTACTAATCCTAGATAATAAATAGGTAATATGCAAATTGACCATCACTCTATCACACAAGCTGGCTTTCCCCATGTGGTCAAAGTTGGCCACCCCCATGTGGACACAAGATGGCCACTACTAGAGGGCTAGCAGAGGAGGAAAGTTGTGGGTGACCAGGCCAGCAGGGGAGGGCATTTAGTGGAAATCAGGCTGGCAAAGGAGGACAATTAGAAGAGACCAGGCCAACTGGGGAGGGCAGTTGAGGCAACCAGGCCAACAGAGGAAGGCTGTCCCCCCTGAGAGCTGGACTGAGAGACTCCCCTCTCCAGTGCACATATTTCAAGCACTAGGCCTCTAGTCTTAAAATAGTCATCTGAGCAAAGGAAGCCAGTTAGAAAAGAGTAGATAGTATATAATCCCATTTATATAAAATTCTAAAAAATGCAAACTAACCTATAGCAACACAAAGCAAATCAATGGTTGCATGGATATTGGGGAGGGCAAGGAGGAGTGGGAAAGAAGAATTATAAAAGAGACATGATGAAGCTTTTTGAGGTTATAAACAGTTTGATTTTCATGATAGCTTTGTGGTGTGCAGGAGGCAACCAATCAACCAATTGATGTGTCTACTATTGAGCTCTCTCTCTCTTTCCCTCTCTCTCTCTCTCTCTCTCTCTCTCTCTCTCTCTCTCTCTCTGTTCTCTTCCCTCCACCCCACTCTCTTCCTCCCTTCTAGCTTCACTAAAAATGGGAAAAATATCTCCTGGTGAGTATTAAACACACACACACACACACACACACACACACACACACACACTTAAGACTCAATAATAAGATAAATATTCAATTAAAATGTATTAGAACAGACATTCCATTGAAAAATATATTTTCACACAGACATTCCACACCATCAGCTATTAGAGAAATGCAAGTTAAAAGTACATTGCAATATAAATGCATTCCTACTAAAAAGGCTAATTAAAACAACAACAACAACAACAAACAGAAATATAAGATCAGGGGAAAATGTGGAGCAATTACAATTCTCATCTACTGCTGCTGGGAAGGTAAGAAGGTAAAACCACTTTAAACACACTTTATCAGGTTCTCTACTAGTGAGATATACTCTCTGCATATGATGCAGCAACCCCACCCTTAGGTATTTTACCTCCAAAGCAATAAGTATGTATGTGCACACATAGACCTGCATGTGAGTATTTTTAGAATCTTTATTCATAATAGCCAAGAAACTAGAAACAACTCAAATACCCATTACCTGATTACTGCAGAAACAAACTGGCATATACACATAATGGGAATACGATGCAGCAATAAAAAATGTACTACTGATAGATGCAACAGCATAGATGGATCTCAAAAGAATTACGCTACATGAAATAAGCCAAACACAGAAAGCTACATACTACATCAAGCATGTCAAACTCATGGCCCACAGCCACATGCCTCATTTATTTGCCCGTGTTAGCCTTTGAGTTTCACATACTTACTCCACATGATTTCATTTCGAAGACTCTGTAAAAGGCAGGACTATAACAGCAAAAATCAGACTTGTGGTTGTCAGGGGCTGGAGGTGGGAGGAGAAGCTGACTGCAAAGAAACATGAGGGGCCTTTTGGGGGATGAAAAAGTGTTTTGGATCTCTAATGTGATGGTGGTACATTTATCAAACTACACATTTATCAAAACTCACTAACTGAACACTTTAAAAGATTGACTTAAATAAAAATTATACCTCACTAAACCTGACTTAAGAAAATAAGAAGCCACATCTAAAAGAACTAAGTGAAAATAAACATAAGAAAAATCAACTTACAGTTTTTCTAATTCAGGAGTCGCAATGAGAATGTCATCAAGTGTTGTATATGTCACCTGTGTTGTTCCTAGGTCTCTGAAGGAGAAAGACCAAACTTGCATGATATGAACCCAAAGACAAAAACTCCTCTGCTCTTAAGAAGATACTTAACAACATCTGTTTACTTAAATTCTGATTTCTCTGTCAAGCCAGCTCCATAATTCAAGGTGCTTTTCTTTCCTTTCCATAGATAATCATTTTAGAGAGCTCTTCTTGAAGAAACGTAAATTTATTTGCATCATCAAATTAGTCACTTTGGTGGACAGTACAATCTGATATTTTGTTTTTGTGTTACCATCATCCTACTACTCATTCTCTGTTGTAGCCACTAATTGATCACTAAAAAAGCACATAATGCACAACTTATTCCTTTTTTCCTTCTGGGATCCGTGGTACTTCTACATGCATCCACATGTTTCATGTCTGATTGTGTTCTACAACACCGCTCCCTTCCTCTGTTGGCTGCCTGCCCTTGTTCAGTCTTTCTTTGCCACTTTTCTGTGCCAATAAATCATTTTCAATCATCCAGTGAAAAGTTAAAAAATAAGTTTTTTTGTCAAAATGCAAAATAATTCATCTTTGACAAAAGTAAGAAAATACTTACAAATAGTTCAACGATGGCAAATTAAAAAGATATGGGTCTTGAATCATCATCAGGGGATTGTGGTGGAGAATTCTGAAAAATGCAATAGAATTAAAATTGTCTGCATTTTAAATAACTGCCATGAAAGTTTATATTAATTTTGTTGGTTCAAAACGTGAAGGTTGAAAAAAATCATTTTCTGTCTATTTCCAGAGATCACCCTTAGAATCTGAAAGCATTCTCTTTTGTTGTTGTTAATCTCACCTGAGGATATTTTTTCCACTGCTTTTTTAGAGAGAGTGAAAGAGAGAGAAAAGAACATCCATGTGAGAGAAACACATCCATTGGCTGCCTCCATCACATGACTCAAACCGGGCCTTGACCAGGTAGTGAACCCGCAACCCATTGTTGTGTGGGCCAATGCTCCAACACTGTATAACACAGGCCAGAGCTATAAAGGATTCTTTTGGGGGAACTACCCAAGTCTCTAAATGATAAAGTGGAGAAGAAAAAGTAAAAAAAAAAAAAAAAGTGGATAGCAAAAAACATATATATACTGAAGAAATTTTCAGAATGAAAACCCTATTAGTGACTATGCTGATGGAAGATCCTGCTCTACAGGCAGTACCATTCCTAATGTCCTCATAATTCAAGGGGTTTTCCTTTCATCTCCAGAAATTTTAAAAAATACAGTTTAAACCACCCAGTTAAAGACAAAAATAAAACTAATTCCTTGGTTTTGGAGCCACAAAATGGGATAGATCTAAGAGGAAGTGGTGAAAGCCATGCTCCTATCACATACTCACATGTGTATTCTTGCATCACAGGCTCTGTTATATGTAATCACCTAGTTTCTTGTCAATTTTTTGGACTGTCAGTGCCTGATTTACTAGTTATTTAATAGATGTTTGTTTAAAATATATAATATTTTGATTACAGATCAATAAAATAAATTTGTTAATTGATGCAAATTTTTATTCCCAATGCTGAAATAAATTTTCCTCTCAATTCTTCCTCCCCTCCCCACCTTTCAATTCTTTAAAACAAACAAGCCCATGCCAAAGGTTCTGGGAAAGCAGAACATGGCATATATCAGTTAGACAAGTCTCTGGGACTATTTGTACCTTAGTTTCTTCACTTAAAAAAGAAAGGAAAAAAAAGTAGCTCTTTAAGCCACACTTTCCAGAGTTTAAACTGAGCTTATACCCGCCAGCCAACCACTGTACGATGTTTTTACACATAGCTTTTTACATGTGTTCATCTTCTATTTCACTTACAACTTATGTAATAGCTGCATTCCATGCCAGGTCTGAAATGTTCCAAAGTTCACTTTTGTGATTAAATTACAACCAAGATTTCTATATATAAAAAAAGATGCAAGCAAATGAAGAGGAAAAAAATTATTTCAGATCACTTATCCTTTAGCAGAGATTCTACTTTATATATGATAAAATAACCTCAACATATCATCTATACATTAAAATTTCTTACTATGGGAGATATATGTTTATGGTTTATGCTTTCATATTTATACATGTGGTGCATTAGATACAAAAGAATGCTTGTATTAACTGATCTATATTTCTCTGAAATAAGGTTACACAACCTCAACACTATTGTCATTTGGGGCTAGAAAATTCTTTATTCTGGAGAACTGTCCTTTGTTTTCAACAATAACTCTGCCAATAGATACCAGCATCAAATCTACAGTTCTGACAACTAAAACTCTCTTTGGATATTGTCAAGTGTCACGTAGGGCAAAATCACCCTGGTTGAGAACCATGCTATAGAATGGTTCATTCTGTTTTTAACTTTTTGAGGAAACTCCATACTGTTCTCCACAGTGGCTGCACCAGTCTGCATTCCCACCAGCAGTGCATGAGGGTGCCTTTTTCTCCACATCCTCACCAGCACTTGTCATTTGTTGATTTGTTGATGATAGCTATTCTGACAGGTGTGAGATGGTATCTCATTATTGTTTTGATTTGCATCTCTCAGATGATTAGTGACTTTGAGCATGTTTTGATATGTCTCTGGACCTTCTGTATGTCCTTTTTTGAAAAGTGTCTATTTAAACTCTTTGCCCATTTTTTATTGGATTATTTATCTTCATTTTGTTAAAATGTATGAGTTCTCTGTAAATTTTGAAGATTAAACTCTTATCAGAAATATCATTGGCAAATATGTTCTCCCATGCAAGGGGCTTTCTTGTTGTTTTGTTGATGGTTTCCTTTGCTGTGCAGATAAAATGGTTCATTCTGAATGTAAGAGAATTCTCACTAATCTATGTTAGAGACAAACAGGATTTGCTACATAACTTTAGTAGCTTTCTAGTAATAAAACTTTAATTTTATTTCAAAATAAGTAACAAAAAGGTTTACAATTATGTTTTGTAAAATTTCTAAACACAATAAAGTTATATTTATAACTTACATATACTGTAAAAGAGGTAATGATTCAAATGTGTTTCTTTCTATAAATTCTATTTTATTGCAGGACAAGTCCCTAGAAAAAGTAAAAGAAAAATAGTGCCTCAATTACTTACTAGGTATCTAATTAATAGGAATACTGGTAGAGGTTAGAATAATATTGAATACACAGTTTTAGTCTAAATTCTAAACCTTAGGAATTGTAATTTGAACTATCCAGAGCCCTTAAGCTGCCCTCACCTCTCTTAAGACTCTCACCTTTAGGATCTTCATAAATACAACATACAACTATAGATCTTGATAGATTTTGAAGGTAATTATTCCTGAGAGCAGAAGAATTCATTAGAAGACCTTTTGGGGTCTCATCAAATTTAGATTATGACCTCAAAGTTTATATCTTCATGTATATTTATAAATTTCTAACATGAAAAGAAATAGTCTCGCAAAAACCGGTTTGGCTCAGTGGATAGCATGTCGGCCTGCGGTCTGAAAGGTCCTGGGTTCGATTCTGGTCAAGGGCATGTACCTTGGTTGCGGGCACATCCCCAGTAGGGGGTGTGCAGGAGGCAGCTGTTTGATGATTCTCTCTCATTGATGTTTCTAACTCTCTATCCCTCTCTGTAAAAAAAATCAATAAAATAAATTAAAAATAAATAAATAAATTTATATATTTATATATATACAATATAAATATAAATTTATACATTTATATATATATAAATATATATATATATATACCTTTAAAAAAATAGAAATAGTATCACACCTACACACTTTCCTGAATAACTTCTGTTTTTCTAGACAAATCCAATACCAGAAGAAATAAAAGATGCCTTTTCACATAACTTAAAAGGAGGTATCTGTTGTAAATTATACTTAAAGATTGGTCCAGTACCCCCCAACTTCCCTCCTCTGCTGGCCTGGTTCCTTCCAACTGCCAACCCCTGCTGGCCATCTTGTGGTGGCCATCTTGTGTTCACATGGGGGCAGCCATCCTTGACCATATGAGAGCAGCCATATTGTGTGTTTAAGTGATGGTTAATTTGCATATTGCTAGTTCATTAGATAGGATAATTGAAACTTTGTAGCCTGGAGTGGAGGCCTCGCCAGGCAGGATGTGTGGAAACCTTGGCTTTCTCCATCATTAGGGAAACCCAAGACCCCCTCCTCTCTCCATTGCTACAGCCATCTTGATTGGGGTTAATTTGCATAATCACTCCTGATTGGATGGTGGGCGTAGTTGGTGGATGTGGCAGAGTGATGGTTCATTTGCATATTACTCTTTTATTAGATAGGATTAGTGGATTTAGGGGCATTGCTGATATACTTTCTTAGTATAGACATTTCTAACAATACAACTTAACCCTCATTTTAAACATTTACTTTTAGTATTGGTATAACAATTGCTGCATTGAAATCCTCAACACCAGCCTGCTCTCTTCATAAATTTGTTTGTAATAATATAACTTAAATGGTTCATCTGCTTAAACATTTAATGTATAAATGTTAATCTGATTTAGATTTAATTATAACAAAATTATGGGTTAATGGCATTCAAAGTAATATAAATGTTTCATATTTTCTTGTTCTATAGGAGACAGCTTGAGGTTAAGGTAAATCCCTCTCGTTTTACTAAATCAATATTTTAAAACCTTTTATGTTAAGGCCAGACAGTAAATATTTTAGGCTTTGCAGGCCACAAATAGTCTGTCTTGCATATTCTTCTTTGCTTCTTTTCTTTCAAAGCACTTTAAAAGGGTAAAAATCATTCTTAACTTATGTGTTGTAAGAAATAAAGAATCTGGGGGCTTGGGGGCAGCTGTAGAGAGATCAATGGGGGGAAAGGAGACTTATGTAATACTAAAAAAAAAAGTATTTAAATTAAAAAATAAAATAAATTAAATTAAAATGAATTTAAATTTAAAAAAGAAACAATATAAACCCAATTTGATCGATGGTATCAAATATAAGCAGATGGTATATGAACACTTACATAAAAAGGCTCATATGGGTATATATCATTACTCAGACTCATCACCACTTTTACTACATAACTGAAAAGTTTTTCCTATCTATATTTTGTCTAGAGGACTGTGAAACTGAAAATGCATAGGAGATATTAAATGCCTGAGATGAGATACACAGACTTAAGGAATTGCAGAATTTTACTGCTGGGAGAAATTATAGAAATTATCTCATTTGAACCCCTTATTTATTTTAGAGATAATATAACTAAAAAACTCATAAGTAAATACTGTTAACTTACAAATATTGGAGGGAATGCAGGCCTTCAAATGATTCTTTACGTAATTCTCTCAAATTATTCCCACTGAGATTTCTGAAAAATGAAAAGGTTATTTCTGGATCAAAATGCAAAATAACTGCAACTCTTTACTGCACAGAAATACATATGGGGAAAACTGGGTAATGGTGCCACCTTAATTTTTGTTTAACTGAAGGAAGATAATCAGTTCTTTTTTTTTATTCAAACCTTTCTTCTCAGGTACTCTTTGTGCAAACAATGGACCATTCTAGAATTGATTCACTTTCCTTCCACATCTTTCTTTCTCTCCAAAGAACTTAATACTTAAAATTACATCTATCTACTGAATACATATATGTGTGTGTGTATTCATTGTCATATTACATAGTTGTAAACCCCTTGGGAACTGGCATAATTTGTCTATTTTGTTCCTGGGCCTGTAGTCCTGGCACATAAAACAGTTCCTGGCACGTGGCAGATGTTCCATAAATACTTTTTCCATGATTTCAGAAAATGACAGAAAGCATTTTCAGTATTCTATTAAAGCAAATCATCCATTTACCATCACTCATGAGGGTAAGGACGGCTTTCTAGGCAAGGAAATGTCTTTCTTTTCCCCTACATTTCTGACTCTTAATCTTTGGAGACAAGATTCCCTAGAAAACTGCACTTTCTTGAATAAATGCAAAAGTGTGCATGAAATTCCCAGTTGTTAGGGCAGAGGTCCGTGAATAGGATTGAATGGATTAAATTCAGGGGGCCAAACCAGAATGGGAAATAAAATTACATTCCTATTTTCATAAGCCTCTACCTAAAATTACTATTGCCTTGCATCGTGAATGTAGGCAACAAATCATAGTAGATTAGCAGTAAAGTAAGTTTATTGGGTCTCCAATAAAATCACAGATATTTTCATATAATGTATTTGTCGCACATAACTCAAAATATCATTTATTAGTTCTCATCACTACCTTGAAGTTATAATAGTTATTAGACCAAGTACTATAGCTTGTGTTATTTAATATAGAAGAAGCAGATTTGCCATGGCTGGTTTTGCTTAGTGGTTAGAGTGTTGGCCAATGGGCCAGAAGGTCATGGATTTGATTCCCCATCATTGGAGCATACCATGGTGGCAGATTCAGTCCCTGACCCCAAACCAGCAGGAGGCCGTCAATTGATATGTCTTTTCATGTCTTTCTTTCTTTCTCTCTCTTTCCCTCTTTCCACCCTCTCTAAAAAATGTTAATAAAAAATATCTTCAGGAGAGGATTAAATAAAAGCATTAAAAAGGGAAGTAATATAATTAATATTTTATTGCTTTTATTTAAAAAAAATTTTATTGATTTTACAGAAAAAGGGAGAGGTAGAGAAAGAGACAGAGAGAGAGAGAGACAGAGAGAGAGACAGAGAGACAGAGAGAGAGACAGAGAGACAGAGAGAGAGAGACAGAGAAACATCAATGATGAGAGAGAATCATTGATCAGCTGCCTCCTGCACAGCCCAACTGGGAATTGAGCCCCTAAGCGGACATGTGTCCTCACCAAGATCCCACAATGATCTCCTGGTTCATAGGTTGACAATCATCCACTGAGCCATCTTGGTTGGCCTATCAGTAATCTTTTTTTTTTTTTTTTTTTTAATATTTTGGCACCAGCTACTTTGGCACAGTGGATAGAGCGTCCACCTGTGGAACAAAGTGTCCCGGGTACAATTCCAGACAAGGGCATGTACCTTGGTGGCAGGCTCTTCCCCAGCCCAATTCCTGGTTGGGGCTCATGCAGGAAGCAACCAATTGATGTGATGTGTCTCCCCCACATGATTATTTCTCTCTGTCTTTACCTCTCTCTCATACTCTCTAAAAATCAATGAAAAAATACCCTCAAGTGAGGATTAAAAAAAGAATAATAATAGAAAAAAATTGAAATCTATATTTTAATAATAGATTCCCTTTATTTTCACATATATTTTAACTTATAAATCATTTTAAAACATAGTCCTCAAGAAAATAAGCCTCTGCAGATCACTTGGGAGGAAAAATAGTTAAGAAATGGTGCACTAGGGGGTCCATTGACTCTAAGGTAGAAACCTCTCCCTTACAAGGTATAAATCTCAAGCTAACTTGGAAATCTTCCAAACTGCCCAGCCAGCATGGCTCAGTGGTTGAGTGTCAGCCTATGATCCAGGATGTCACGGACTGATTCCCAGTACCGGTACATGCCCAGATTGCGGGCACAATCTCCAGTACAGGGTGTGCAGGAGGAAGCCGATTAATGGTTCTCTCTCATCATGGATGTTTCTGTCTCTCTCCCTCCCTCTACTTTTCTGAAATCCATAAAAAAATATTTGAAAGAAACAAATGTTCAATAAATATATGAAGGTATCTGAATTCAAAAGTAATCAGAAAAATTCAAACTTAGGTGGAACTGCCTTTATTCACCCATTAGATCAACCAAAAAAAATGAAGACTACCTAGTGGTGGAAGGACAGAGGAAACAAATACTGTAGTTGCCCCCAGTGATTGGAGTGTAAGTTGGCATAATTTCTTTGAGGGTAATTAAAATGTTGTATCAATATACTTTCACCTCAACAATTCCATTTCTAAATATCTGCCCATGATCCCAAAGATGCATGTACAAGAATGTGTGTTGCATCAAATACACATAACAAGAAAACTGAACAGAATCTAAACATCCATCAATAGGGGGATTATTAAACTATGGAGTATTATTGAATTGTTTAAATGAATTGGGTAGCCCTCTCCATATCAAGAAGGAAACACGTGTAAGAGTAAGATATATTATGAGGTGAAAGAATCAAGTGGGAGGATGTTACCACTTACATAAAAAAAAGATATGAAAATCACATAACATATCTTTTAGCTATCTGTAAATATGTATATAGGTAAATGTGTGGGAAAAGGTCTGTAAGGATATAAACAGAGTAGCAGTTATGTCAGGGTGGGGATGAGGTCACAAGCCGGGTTTTCACTATACCTGCTATTTCATTTTTACATATTGAAAAAATAATCATGTATTACTTCTTCTAATGGAAAACAAGTTTAAATTGACTCTGATTTTAAAGAGGACCTTCCAAATTTAATCTTTAAAATAAACAAACTACAATCAATAGATGTTGATTTGGGTTACAGAGGGGGTAATACCTTTTCTCAGAGCTATTGACCTCAAAATTCTGGACCTAGAAGGGTCTTACAATACAGTTAGTTTTTTAAATTTGTTTTTGGAGAGAATATACGTACAGTTTCTCAACCAAATGATATGACTTCCATGTGTCTTTTCCGATGTAAGAAATAGCATTTCCCTGCAAGTTTCTGTGAAGAAACACAGTCAATGTCATTGAGTAGGTAAGAAACAAATGAACAGAATACGTAAAACAATCATGGCAACCTTGGTATTCAAATGCAGAAAATACAAGCTTTCTAATTTCTATAACTATCAGCTTCCCAGTTTGCACAATTAATAAAGACATAATGTGAGCTCTAGCTGGTTTGGCTCAGTAGATAGAGCATCAGCCTGTGGACTGAAGGGTCCCAGGTTCAATTCCAGTCAAACGCACATGCCTGGGTTGCAGCTCAGTCCTCACTAGGGGTGTGCAGAGGGCAGCCGATCCTATCAATGATACTCTCTCATCATTGACGTTTCTCTCTCTCTCTCTCTCCCTCTCCTTCCTCTCTGAAATCAATAAAAAATTGTTTAAAAAAATAAATACTGCAAGCAGTAAGAATGTGTCCACGAATTACACATGTTTAAAAGCAGCTGTTAAATTTCTGAGGTTCAGTTTCAAATACTAACTCTTTGGATGACTTTAAAACTTTAGCTTTGTCCTCTTCCCTCAGCAATAACTTACCTATTCAGTTTACACATTTTTCAGGAAGGTCAGAAAAAGTCAGATAGCTGTCTGTCTCTGTGCCCCGTGGACATTTCCTCTCAAGCAGAAGCCTTCTGGTCGCTTCATGCCACCAATGAAAGATGCCCAAACTGAGCTCACCTCCTCAAACTGGTTCTCCTTCCCAACTGCTGTATGTCCACCTGTCATACCACCATCATTCTCCTCATCATCCAGGACAGAAATTTTCCAGGGTCATATTGGGTCTTTCTCTTTCCTGTACATCCCATCCCTCACTCCAGTCAGTTACCAAACCTTGTCTGTTCTTCCTGTATAGCATTCCCTGGATTTTCTTTCAACTCCTGTCACAACCCCTCTGATTCAGTGCACCTTTTCACTTGACTCCTATAGAATTCTATTTTGTCTCCCTGAGTCGACTTTCTCTCTACATCGCTCTACCAATGGAACCTAAAATAATCCTCTTATTTTACTCATCTGTCTCTCTCACCTGAAAACTTTCAGTGGGTCTCCTTATCTCAGTTTAACTTCCAAACCCCTAGATCCGATAGTCAAGGTTTTTCATAATCTTATTTTTCACTGCTTCCTAAACCAATTCTTTATAACCAGACTGTTCTTTTAAGTCATGATCATTCCTGTAGCCGTGCCTTTGCCCTCACTTTTTTACCAAACCACAGCCACCCTTTAAGTCCCAGCTAAAGATCTGGCTTATCCATGGCACTTTCCCTGACTTCCATACCCCAGTAACTACACATTCTGCTGAATTAGAGCACCTCTGGCCTGTATCTCTTTTAGTACTTAATTACATATCACCTCCTTTCCTAATGCACATTCCTTTCTCCCTACCTACCATTGTCATGTTCCATAGACCATGTCATACTCCTGTGCCTCCCACAGACTTAGACGTGGGTTGGGCACAAAATGGGTGATTTATATAGAAAGCCAGGGGGCAAAGGTAAGTTTTAGATATGAATGAGGGGTCAAATAATAATAGCTAACCCATACATATATTAAGAATTTGTATAAGTACTATCCTATATAATAAAAGCATAACATGCAAATTAACCGAGCAGTGGAACAATAGGTTACTATGAAGCACAGTGGCCACCAGAGGCAGGCGCTCAATGCAGAAGCTGCCCCTGGTGGTCAGTGCACTCCCACAGGGTGAGCACTGCTCAGCCAGAAGCCAGGCTCACAGCTGGCGAGCACAGCAGTGGTGGTGGGAGCCTCTCCAACCTCTGCTGCAGGCAGGTGGTAAGGAGCAAGGAATCCAGGACTGGGTGAGCTCCTGACTCTCCAAAAGGGATGTCCTCCGAGGGGTCTTGACTGTGAGAGGGTGCAGGTTGGCCTGAGGGGACCCCCGTCCTCCCCACCCCCACCCATGCATGAATCTTGTGCACTGGGTCTCTAGTATATACAGTATATAGTACTTCTAAAACTCACTACAATCCTATGTAATGTTAACTTATAATGTTCATTTTACATGAGGAAATTGAGTCTTAACACTAATAAATGGCATACTAGGTTCAAACCCAGTCACTCTGGCTGTAGAATATCTACTCTTAACTACTTTGTTGCACCACAACCAATGAGTCTGGGAGAGGGTCATGTTTCTGTAAGGAAAATGGAGCAAAAGTGGGAGGTTTGGCTCAGTGGACAGAGTGTCAGGCTGTAAACTGAAAGGTCCCTGGTTCAATTCTGGTCAAGGGCATGTACCTGGGCTGCGGGCACATCCCCAGTAGGAGGTGTGCAAGAGGCAGCTAATCAATGATTCTCTCTCATCGATGTTTCTAACTCTCTATCCCTCTCCTTTGCTCTCTGTAAAAAAAATCAATAATATATATATATATATATATATATATATATATATATTTTTTTTTTTTTTTTTTTTTTTTTTTTTTTTTTAAGTGGGAGGACAGTAGCAGTTAAGGAATGAAATGCTGGGGCTAAATTTATAGGGAAATAATATGGGCAATTATAAGCAAAAGACCGGTTAAGATGGAACTAAAGTATTAAGAAGAAGATAAGGAATAGTTGTCAAACAAAGATAAAAAACAAAGTCATTCAACATGGTTAGAGGGAGATGAGGAAGGCCCAAGAAGACCTCAAGGAAAAGGCTGCCACCTCAGCCAAGATGCAGAGAACAAGTGAGGAAAGACAGTGCTTACAAGACAGTGAAGGTGCCATTGTAGGTGCTGGGCTCTGGTACTGGCACTCTGTGGAGTCTCTGGTTTGAGCCAAAACCAATACACGACAGTGTCCCATTATTGCAGGAACAGAGCTCACAGATGTTCGTGATGGTATTCTGCTCAGTCATTGGAGGAACTGTCTCTGATGACTCTGGTTGCTGAGTGATTGTAACTTCCACATCAAATGGTAGAACTGTGGCTGTGACTTCAGAAAAAGATGGCTGCTGAACCTGAACAAGTTGTGGATGTTGAAGTGTCACTTCAGGGTGCTCTGTAGGAGCTGCATTCTGCTGCAGGGCTGTAGCACCAGCCTCCAAAGTGGGTTCTGGAGTGATGGTGAGCTCCAGATCAAATGGAGTGAAGGTTGGTTGTTGAGCCTGCACAGTCTCTGATGATGGAAGTGTCACCTCAGGGTGATTTGCAGGAGCTGCATTCTGCTGCAGGGATGCCTCAGCCTCCAAAGTCAGTTCTGGAGTGATGGGGACTTCTGGTTCCAAAGGTAAAAAGATTGGCTGCTGAGCCTGAACAGGCTCTGGACCTGGAAGTGTCACCGTAGGGTGCTTTTCAGGAGCTGCATTTGGCTGGAGGGCTGTAGCACCAGCCTCCAAAGTAGGTTCTGGAATAATGGAGAATTCCAGGGGGATGGAGGTTAGCAGGGTAGAGTCCATAATGGGAGCTGTCTGGACCTGCAGCCACATCCCCTGCCACAGGAACAGAAGCCATGGGGCCCACATGCGTAGCCCGGACATGACAGTCAGAGGTCCGGGGCACAGTGAGCCACTAAGGCGAATGGGGTAAGGAGAGTGTCCCAGGAAACTGGGACACAAAAGGCGATCCAAGATTCTGGAACACACACACAAAGAGCGATCCAGGACACTGGAGCACAGGGAGCAATCCCAAGCACTGGGGTACATACAAGTAACCCAGACAAGTGGGATGCAAGTACCATGCGCTGAGCAAGAGCTCAACAATTGGCAGCCATGTCACAATTGGCAGCCCTGTCACAACTGGCAGGCCTGACATGCATGTCTCCCTTAGCAACCAAGCACCCCTCCCTCACTCTAGGTTCTAACCTTTATTCTTGGGCCGAAGTGGCTATAGAGCAGTGAGCCTTTTCCCTAGAATCACCAGGGATCAGGTGGTTCCTTTCACCTGCACAAAAGATAACTATCTCCTCTGGTTCTTCCCTCCCCACTCACAGTGAGGAATGATTTGGCCTCCATACTTGGATGGCTCCAGAGCCCAGAAATGGTGGGATGTGGGGAGGGGGTGTAAAAGAAGGTGGGGAGTTGGGAGGTATTGAAGAGCATTCCAAGAAAGCCACAGGGCCTGGCATCTCAGGAAATTCAGAAGAGCTAGTCCAGTCTGGCAATTTGAGCTCCTTTTCAAAGCTGAATATGAGTCTTCTTGCCAATGGCCATACTGCTTCCTGGAAGACTAGCTGACCTACAAAATACACCAGTTAGAGTGGTGTGCAATGGGACACACTTTACAGTTCAAAAATGTTCCCATTTCCTTCAAATTCTCCTTTTTAATTTTTTAATTCCCACCCAAAGATATGTTTATTGATTTTAAAGAGAGACAGGGAGTAGGGCTTAACCTACCATAAGATATCATCTAACCCTAAGTATGTGACAAAAGAAATAATACTATTGCATTGGTGGTTGGGCTTCAACATATGAATTTGGGTGAGGAGACATGAATTTTGTACTTCTATACACCCAAACTGTAAGAGAATACATTTATGCTGTTTTAATCTAAGTTTGTGGTACTTTGTCACAATAGACCTATGAAACTAATACAGACTCCAACTACTCTTCAGGCATGGTTTTGAACTTCAGTGATTAGTGGGTTGAGAAATTGTCTCAGGTCTCTTCTTTAAAATAAAGCTAACTGAAAATGGCATATACTTATATAACTTTCCTTAATCATTAGACTCTAGTGACTAGAGAATGAAAGAATTATTACCTTTTTAAAGTATACTTTTATTGGTTTCAGAGAGGAAAGAAGAGGGAGAGAGAAACATCAATGATGAGTGAGAATCATTGATTGACTGCCTCTTACACACAACCTACTGGGGATTGAGCCCACCACTTAGGCCTGTGCCCTTGATGGGAATCCAACCTGGGACCCTTCATTCCTGAGGCCATCGCTTTATCCACTGGGCCAAACCAGATTAGGCTAAATTGTTTATTGGTTGGGATTTTTTAATGAATGGGAATAGTTATGATAGCATGAAATAATTAGTGTACAATATATTTCACAGTAGAAGTAATGAATGACCTAATCCATTGAGCAGTTATCTCGTTTGTCTTCCAACTGTTTGTAAGGCTTAGAATGCAGATGGCAAAGGTACCCAAGAGGATCAATACAAAAGTGGTTGTCCCTTGAAAGGTTCAGTAATTCAGAGGGCTATTTTTAGTGTCATGTGAGCTTGGTATAATCACTTCCTTTAAGCCAAAAAGAATCCATTTGCTAAAGAGCACCATTA